TTTTTTTTTTTTTGGGGGGGGGGAGGGAGAGGAGAGGGGGACTTGAACCTTTGATCTCAAGAAAGCAAAACCTTCACAAGGTAAGGAATATCATTGGATCAAAGGCTTGTTGGTAGCTGGTGGCCCCTAAGTAGTGTGTTGATTCTGTGAATGCCTCATATTGAAGCATGGTTTAGTTTGATGACATTTTTTTGGTGGAGCAGCTGCTTGAAATATTTCCGCCCCCATGTTCTGCAATTGGAATCTTCATAGGTTCAGGATGACATGATTGTAAATCTTTTTTCCTTTACTTCAGTGAAAGCGACTTTCAGAAAGACTGCAATTGTTGCTGTGTACTGTGTAGACAGCGTAATCTATTCTTTCAACCATAAAAGCCATGATGAAATCAAAATGTAACCTCAAGGATTCCTGTATGTTATTAACTATGAGAGATAATAAGTGGCTAACTTACTTTTGGTTATTCCCAACCATTTTATATTTCTTTGTTGGCTGATATAGATGTTTTAAAATTCGTTATTCCTATTCTATCATCGCAGGAGAGGGAGCTAGCAGCTGCAACAGCGAAGCTTGCAGAATGTCAGGAGACTATCTATCTTCTTGGCAGGCAATTGAAATCCATGCACCCTCATGCACATATTATTGGCTCTAGCTCAGCAGGAGATAAACCATGTCACGGGTAACCCACAAGGCATTCGCATTTTCCATGAATTTGATAATGTTGAGACAAAACCTGCTGCTTCTGTTGGCGCCCATAGTTCAAAAGAGTCATCCCCTGTAGAAATTTGTAGGAGGTCATCTAGTTCCTCTGAAGATGAAGCAAACCAGAGGCCGATTCTTTTTGTGCTGCTCCAACTCTAGAGCTAGAGAAGAACCAACACGGTTTCAGCCGCGTCTTCCATTTAATGGAATGCAGTAAATTGCTTGCAGGTGTCAATAGTATATGTGGAGTTTTGTACATAGTTGGCTTCAGTCATTTACATACTTTTTTTTTTTGAGCAGGCATTCACATACTTCGAGTGTGGCCATCTATAGTGTTTCCAGAAAGAAAAGTGATTTTGCAAATACATGAGGTAATGGTAAGTAACCAAATTTTGAAGCCAGTGCTGTTTATTCCGTGGCTTATGAAGCCATTGCTTTGGAAACTTGTATTTTCCCCAGAATATATTACTTCAGGTTTCGCAGGTTTGGCTATTTGTTTTGATTAGAAGTGCAAGGTAATTCCACATTATATATCACCAGGATGAATTGATACCTCGCAACTAGGCCAATCAACAGATCGAGTTTGGATTAGATTTTGACTGATTTGAATTTGAATTCGATTTCAAGAGTCTAATGTGAATTTGATTTGATAATTTGATGAATTTTATTTTCGTGGTTCATATTTGAATCCGTAACAATCCAAAATGAGTAGCTTAATTAATTAAATTTTGACAAATTATATTTAAAGTTCAACTATTTTTTTTAAATAATCATTTAATTTTTTAATATTTATATAAAAATATATAAATAATTCGAATTAGATTATAATTGAATCGAATATAGATATAATTTAAATTTAAAATCTGTGAAATGTAAGATATTGGATTCGAATTCTTGGTAAAAAAATATTAATTTATATCTGACTAATCAAATTTAGATTTGGATCAGATTAAAATTTAATTCATATCTATTCAAACGTTTTGAGACTCAAATGTATATAATTAATTTCTCATCTTGGAAATAAATCTATGGGATGTGTGTGGGGTAGCTAAGGGTGTCAAATATGTCAGGTTAAACGGGTGAAAAATTGGTGACGGATAAAAAGTATATAACCGTATATGACACGTTTAATAAATGGGTGAAAAATCTTAAGACGAACACGATTCGTTTAACCCCGTTTAATTTAAAAAAAATTATATCAACAAATTTTAATACTTAATTTTTTTTATTATCAACTGTACTTACCTCAAAAAAAAAGAATTTCTACCCAAATTTCATATAAAAATCAGACGAGGCCACTACCCTTTCATAGGTAAGTTAGCCCTCTCTATCTCCCCTCATTTGCCAATGTGGGACAAAACAAAAGACATTTGTTTGCCTTTGTCTTTGAACTGCTCCTCATCTCCCTTCCTTTGTTCTTAAAGTTTGAACTACTACTTTACTTCTTTTTTTAAGGTGTTGATTTCTTTACTTTTTTTTTTGGTTAATTTTTTAAAATAATTATCAATTTATTATTATATTAATTTTATTTAAACGGATAAACGTGTGATGAATGGTTTGACAGATCTCACTCGAACACGATCTGTTTATTAAACGTGTCTGATGGGTCAATCTGTTTACCACCCAAATCTGTTAAGATCTCATCCAAATCTGCTTAATTCGCATCGATTCGTATTGGTTAATCATGTCGTGTCGAATTTTGATAGGCCTAATGATAGCTCATAAAAAAAAATGAACGTTCCTCTTTATTGTCAACCATTTAGAGAAATGGAATAAGGGATGACTTTTACCTTTCCTAACTCCAAGTTGTCCCATTAAAAACATTCAATTCCTGACAGCTTTTCTTAAAATCAAACTTTTCCTGATCTCTTAATAAATCCCAATTTCTTGGTGGAGTTATTCAAGCCCATCAAGCTAGAGAGTATGTGAAGTATAAGGGAGCTCACTTATGAGGGCGAATCCAATAAATTTCACTTAAATTCATTTATTAGTGTTCACAGATTTAAATTCAAATCTATAAGATTAACATGACAGATTTTAATAAGTTCATTGATAATCTTAAATAGAGTCATCCAAGTGTGAGGTAGGATTTTTCCCTTCTCTGTTTGTAACTCGTAATTCCCAGATCTGATTACTTTCGAAATGATGTAGGGGACCTTCCCAATTGGAACCTAGCTTCCCATCAGTAGGGTCCTTTCTCGTAGGAAGGAGTTTTCTGAGTACTAGATCTCTAACTTTGAAACTTCTGTGTTTGACCCTCCTGTTGTAGTATCTTGCCATTTTCCTTTGGTAAATATGATGTGACACAAAGCCTTGTCTCTCATTTCATCCAGGAGGTCGAGATTTAGCAGAAGTGACGCATCATTATGCTTGGGCTTTGAGAACTCGGCCCTAGGAGATGGAATACCGACCTTTACAAGTGCCACTGCCTTGGTTCCAAATGCTAAAGCGAATGATGTTTCTTGATTTGCTGATCTGACAGTTGTTTTGTAAGCTCATAATACTTCTAGAATGTGTTTCATCCATTTCCCTTTCAGAGCTTCTAGCTTGGTCTTCAGGGCTGCTTTTATGGGTCGGATGACCACCTCTGCTTGTCCGTTGGATTGTGGATGAGCTGGAGTTGAGAAGTAACTATTTATTTCTAGCTCGACACAGAACTTTTTGAACTTGCGATTGTCAAATTGCTTCCCATTGTTAGAGACGATTACTCTGGGTATCCTAAACCTGCAAATTATAGATTATCATGTGAAGTTTTGAACCTTCTGCTTTGTGATTGTTGCCAAGGGCTTCACCTTTGCCCATTTGGTGAAGTAATCCATTTGATGAAGTAATCTACCCCAATGAGAGTGAACTTGCATTGTCCAATATCAGTGGGGAGGGGCCCAAGTATGTCTAGACCCCCATTGTTAGAATGACCAAGGGCTTACCACCGAGGTTAGGAGCTCTAGTGGACAATGAGGGACGTTGGTGTGTACCTGGCAGACCTTACATCTTTTGACCACATCTGTGGCATCTTTGAGTATAGTGGGCTAAAAGTACCCTTGCCTTAGCACCTTCCCTGCCAGAGCTCGAGCTCTGATATGATTGTCGCAAATTCCATTGTAGATTTTCCTGATTATGTAATTAGCATCCTCATCTCCTATGCATTTGAGGAGAGGTGTTAAAAACCCTCGCTTATACTGATTTTCCTATAGAATCGTGAATCTGGATGACCTGACTCTTAGCTTCGCAATCTCTTTGGGATCTTCTGGCAAGGTTCCATTATGAAAATACTCTCTGATTGGGTCCATCCAGCTCGGTGGGGCTAATATAGGGAGCACCTCTTTATCTTCATGGCTTACAGATGGCTCAGCCAGGTGTTCAATTGGGATTAATCTATCCAGGTTTTCTCAAGAAGCTGTAGCAAGTCTTGCCAGAGCGTCTACTCGGGAGTTCTCAGTTCTAGAGACATGTTTGATTTTAACTTGAATGAACTTTTGATCAGTTCTTGCACCTTTTTGAGGTACGTGACCATTCTTTCTCCCTTAGCCTCATAAGTTTCATTTATCTGTTTCACCATGAGCTGAGAGTTGCTGTAAATTTTGAGCTATTCTACTTCGTTGTTTAAGGCCTTGAATCCGAATCTGAGGGCATACTCGATATCTATTCCATCTGAGGAGGTCAGAATCAACCCTGCACCGCTTCTTTGAGCATTGACAACTCTATATACTGAAAGCTTCTATGTGGGGAGGTGAAGTACTAGCTGGGTTGCTTCCACAGGTGCTTCTGTGGTCATAGTGAATTCTGCGATGAAATCTTTCAGAATTTGCTCTTTGATTGCGACTCTAGGTTTGTACCTGATATCAAACTCATTGAGCTCTATGACCCATTTGACTAACCTCCCTTAAGATTCTAGTTTATGTAATACCTGCTTCATTAGCTGGTCTGTTGGGACTTTAATAGTGTGAGCCTGAAATTATGGTCTGAGCTTTCTCGCAGCTGTGACTAGAGCTAAAATTAGTTTTTTCATCTTTGGATACCTCTCCTATGCCCCATTCAAAGCACTGCTATAGTAGTAAATTGGTTGTTGAGCTTTGTTTCGCTCTTTTATTAGCGCTACACTGATTGATAAATCTGAAACAGCGAGGTAGAGGGTGAGTACTTCTCCCTCTAAGGGACTTATCAAAACTAGGAGTGAGCTTAGATAATCTTTAAGGGCTCTGAATGCTTCTTCCCATCGGGCATCCCATTGGAACGCCTTTTTTAATATTTAGAAGAAGATGTTTGATATGGAGACAAAGTGACTTAGGGCCGTTATTCTTCCTGTTAAGCATTGGACCTCCCTTGCATTGGAAGGTGGCTGCATGTCCATTACTATAAATTTTTTTGGGTTTGTCTTGATTCCCCTGCTGTTGACTATGAAACTCAAGAATTTTCCCATAGCGACCCCAAAGGTGCACTTGGCAGGGTTGAGTTTCATCTGGTATTTCTTGAGAAACTAGAAAGATTTAAGGTGCTCGATGTGGACCTCGACTTTCACTGATTTTACCAGCATATCATCGATGTACACCTCCATTGATGTTCTAATTTATTTTTAGAACATTCAGTTTACCAAGCACTGATAAGTGGCTCCGACATTCTTCAGTCCAAAAGGCATGACCTAGTAATAGTATATCCCCTGCTACGTTACAAATGAGGTATTCTCTTGGTCACTAGGGTCCATTTTGATTTGATTATACCCAGAAAAAATGTTCATAAAACTGAGAAGCTCGTGTCCAGCTGTGACATCAACAATTAGGTCAATTCGTGGTAAGGGGAAGTTGTCTTTAGGACAAGCTTGGTTGAGGTCAGTAAAGTCGATGCAGAGGCACCACTTTCTATTGGTCTTCTTGACGAGGACCACGTTTGCTAGCCATATGAGATAATCTACCTCTCTGATGGCTTTAGCGTAAAGAAGCTTGTCGACCTCCTTATTGATTTTTTTTGACATTTTTGGGTGAAACTCCTTTGTTTCTATTTGATAGCTTGAACGTTGGATTTACAGTGAGTTTATGTGTGATGACTGAGGGGTTAATTCTTTTCATATTTTCTTGTTTTCAGGCAAACACTTCCATATTTCTTCTAAGGAGTTGGATCAGAAGGTCTTCAATTTCCCTGTTCAGCTTAAATCCCATGTATACCAGATGCTCTGGCTTCTCGTCAAGTTGGATAAGCTCCAGCTCTTTCGATGGCATTGTCCTAGTTTTCAGCTCATCTCTCATGTCAAGCTCGTCTAACTGGATGTTTTTGACCTCTTTCTTTTTCAATGACACCATGCAACATTCTCGTGCGACACGGTGGTCTTCTCAGACCACCCCAATCCCATTTTTCATAGGAAACTTTATGACGAGGTGGTAGGCAGAATGAATGACCCTCATGACGTTGAGGGTTTTCAGTAGATACGAGCTCCTATGAAGTGTGACACAAAAGATATGAAGAGCTCTTCGAATAAGGAGATAGATGCCGGGGCTAGACTGTTGAATCA